GTTACCACCCTTTGCTTTCAACATGAGGTACATCCTGGGATGCTATATTGCTATAAAAAAAATTTTTATTTTAATTTCAGTTTGTTTCATTTTGTTATGAATTTCACTTTTATTATATATATATATATATATATATATGTATATAATTGTTTTTTTTATTTTTATTTTTTATTATGCATATTTAGGGTAAGGGTTAAATTTTTATTAATTTTTTATTTCACTTTTAGTTATTTTAATACATCGTTAAACAGTTAAAAGAAAGAAAGAAAACAAGAAAAAAACAGTTAAAAATACCTTAAGTTTGTTTGTTTATTAATTTATTTTCAGTTTTTATTTTAGTTAACTATGAAAACCCTGATTCACATTGGATGTTTAACCTCACTATCTGGTAACCAACAATAAAACAAACAAATCATGAATGAAAATTAATGAATGAACGAATGAATTAAAAAATGGCTTTTTAAATTCATACATAGCAATGTGTCTACACATCTAATTAGAAATATACATCATGATTTAATAAATACAAATAGTTTAATAAAATGCAGCAGCAACAACAACAACAATGATAAATTCTGTCAAGTTTGCTCAAAATTGTTACTTCTGCAAATTACTGTTTGCACAACTACTGAAGAATCGGCATCTATTAAATAAGGACCAACATTTGTCAGATTTTCCATACTAAGCATAATAAAAATGTAAAAATATAAGAATGGAATAACACTGTATTTGTTAATGTTACATGCTATCACATCAGCTAATTGTTATACTTATTGGATAATAGGTGTCAGAGACCTCAATTATATCCCATTCTTAAAAAAATACATTTAGTATTAGTAATGTTGCATTTTAGAGTCTTTCATGGATAAACAGCAGTAAGCTCTTAATTGTGGTTTGGAACCTTGAGCGAATCAGCATCACTCACCAGTGGCAAGAGTTCATAGGTTCATTGAATTTCTGCAGTGTGCAGTTTCTCAGAGCAGCGAGTCATTTTCCACAGCTCAGTCAATGGAGCATGTCAGTTTCATCATTTCTCCAAACCCCCACCTCACAGCGAACAGACCCCTCCTGTCTCTCTACTCCAAACGTTTGAGCTGAGATACTCAAACACACATACAGTGAGTGGTCGATCAGAGACGTTGTAAGGCACCTGAGTGATGATTTAGTGAAAAACTGACCTACTTGCTCAAGATGACCTAAACGGATAGTTCACCCAAAAATGAATATTCTTTCATCATTTAATCACCTTCATCTCGCTCCAAACTTGCATGGTTTTCTTTCTTCTGCAGGACACACACACACACACAGGTTTACATTTGTGAAAAGTGGGGACTCTCCATAGGCGTAATGGTTTTTCTACTGTACAGACCGTATACTCTATTGCCCTACACCAACCCTACCCCTAAACCTACCCCTTACAGGAGACTTTGTGCTATTTCAGATTTTCAATACACTCCATTCTGTGTGATTTATAAGCGTTTTGAAAAGTGGGGACATGGGGTAATGTCCTGAAAAGTCACCTTCTCCTTGTAATACCTATGTCATAGCTTTGTCATTATACAAATTTATGTCATTTGTCACAAAAACGCGTATACACACACACACACACACACACACAGACACAGACAGAAAGAGAAGAATGTTTCAGATGTTTTTATCTAAAGTCAATGAGAACCAAAACACCTCAACACAAGCTTCAGTCTGGATCCAGAACACCTGAGAAGAGATGATGCAACCCCTCAGAGGACCTCAGATGATGCCAACCCTGAAACAACATACAGAACTACCACATTTTGCTATAAGTTTGATTGCATCATATAATAATTGCTGTTAATATTGTTCATCGTCTGTTTTATTACGTCTTATATTGATTTTTCTGTACTGCTGGTTCGTCTGGTCAGAGGAGAACTGGCCCCTCGACTGAGCCTGGCTTCTCCCGAGGTTTTTTCTCCATTCTGTCACCGATGGAGTTTTGGTTCCTTGCCGCTGTCGCCTCTGGCTTGCTTAGTTGGGGACACTTCATTTCCAGCGATATCGTTGACATGATTGCAAAGATATTATTTAAACTGAGCTGGATGTTGACATCACTGAATTCAATGAACTGGCTTTAACTGAAAAATTAGTGTTTACTATTGTCATTTTGCATTATTGACACTATTTTCCTAATTAATGCTGTTCAGTTGCTTTGTCACAATCTGTATTGTTAAAAGCGCTATATAAATAAAGGTGACTTGACTTGACTCAACAGAAATCCAAAAGCCTGTCCCAATACCCATGCTTGCATTCTTGGTCACTTGAGAGTGTGTGTGAATGACAGGAAGTTCACAGGACTAAAAAAAAAAAAATGCCAAAGCTCAGTGCCCTTAAAGGGATAGTTCACCTAAAAATTTTAATTGTCGTCATTTACTCACCCAAACCTAAATGAGTTTCTTTCATCTGTTGAACACAAAAGAAGATATTTTGAAGAATGTTGCTAGCCAAACTGGTAGCGATTGACTCACATAGCATTTTTTCCCCTTGCTATGGAAGTCGGTGGTAATCCCCATGACTCCAGTCCTTTAATTAACATCTTGTGAAGTGAAAAGCAAACAAATCCATCAAGATGTTTTTAACCAAACTGTTGCTTATGGCTAAAATACGGATCCTCTAATCATAATATTGCTTTCTCCAATGAGAAAGTCGTCTCGGCTGAATTAGGAGAGAAATATGCACAGATCAAACACAGTTTATAAGCAAAAAAACTGTCCAAAACAGTTCCAAACAAATTTGTTGGTGGATTTTGATGTGAAAAGACAGCAGGAGATGAACTTTTTCACTGGAGGAAGCGTTATTATGGATTATGGACTCATATATTGGCATTGGTTTAAGGTTAATGCCTTAATGACGGACACATCTCACTTCACAAGATGTTAATTGACAGACTGGAGTCGTGTGGATTACCTGTTGATTATTGTGGTGTTTTTATCAGCTGTTTGGGCTCTCATTCTGACGGCACCCATTCATTGCAGAGGGTCCACTGGTGGGATGCAATGCTACATTTCTGAAAGAAACTCATCTATGTCTTGGATGGCCTTTTTCAAAGATAATTCATCTTTTTGGGAGAACTGCTCCTTTAACGTCAAACCTTGTTGGTTCTTGACCGTCACATGACCATATGTCATTGTTTATGGTTTGCATGTACTGCCACAATTGATACCATGACTAACCCTAGGGTGACCATAAGTGCCATTTTCCCAGGACGCGTCCTGGCCAGGATTTCTATATTGCCTAAAATATCTAGGTTTTGGCTTAGTTTGCGAAAATGGCACGTATGGTCACCCTACTAACCCACACTATCCCCAACATTAAAATAATGTATATGGGTAGGTCATCCTGAGCGCATATTTTCAGTACACCCAGGCACCCATCAACACGCTGTAGCATTCATCTGGTGTGGCTTTTTTAAACAAACGTGTCAACAACCTGTCAACACATTACAGGCATCAAGCACATGACCTAAAGCTGAAGACAAACAACATTTCTTCCCGGCTCACTCTTGTTTTCTGAATACGTGTAACTGCAGAGGAGAGAACAATTCTTGATGATGGCTCCACGTGTGGAGCGCTGGCTAATTGATTGTTAACACCCCACGTACTGTGAGCTATGACTGTTATATGAGGGAAGGTGACTCACAGCGAGCCCTCGCGAGAGAAAGAGGGAGGAAGCGGTTTAGTGGAAGCAGGGAACGGGGTCGGGATGAATCATTGCTGCATCCTGCATCTATTTACAGTCACTCAACCTGCCTACTGATAGTCAATATGAAAAGAGATGGATGTGTTTTTACAAAAGATCATATCTTTCTGTGTGGTTTTCTTTCATTCACACCATCAATGAATGAAAATGTGCCAATGAACATAATCTTTCAGAATACTACTACTACTAATAATAATAATACACAAAAAGTCAAGTGGATTGAGTATGCCAACATTAATTTATTGGGCTTGTTTAGAGAAGAGCGTTTATATACACTGACATAATGACACAGTCATGGTGTTGTGTACAGTAAATCCCATTTAGTCTTTCACACAACTGCCGCTCATGAAAGAGTAAAGGGCAGAGATGCAGTAAGAAAACAAAACTGTTACCTGATATCTTATGCGTAAGAGCAGAATATCTGATAGAAAAGATAACAGGGATCCAGAAATAGAGACAGTGAGAGTAGGTTTGTGCATATTATTGTGACAGACTGGCATTTCTACAGTGTTTGCAAGGCAGCTCTGTATTGATATATTGCTCAAACATTTTGGAGAGGGTTTGCTCGAAACTAATAAGCTAAATTCGAAACCTTATCCTGAATTTAGTCAAACTGAACAATGTAACATCAGATTCCATTCTTTTTGTTTAGAACCTTCAGCATTCAGATTCCAACAGTGACACCATTCTGAATTACAACTGGTTTTGTATTTGCATATTTGCATCCTGAATTGTGATTGGTCTTTTCTTTCTTAAACCATCTTTACACTTTAAAATATATATACTGGGCACAGAAGATGCTTTAAATATAATTATGTATTGATGACTTTTAATATATTATATTTTATATACATACACTACCGTTCAAATGTTTGGTAAGCTTTTTTGTTGTATTTATGCTCACAAATCTTGCATTTATTTAATCAAAAACACAGTAAAAATGGTTATGCTGTGAAATATTACAATTTAAAATTCTAAATGTGTTTCTAAAGGTAAAACGTGTTCTATTTTAATATACTTTACAATGTAATTTATTCCTGTGATTAAAGCTGAATTTTCAGTATCATTACTCCAGTCTTCAGTGTCACATGATCCTTCAGAAATTATTCTAATATACGGATTTGCTTCTCAAAAAAAACAAAAAAAAGATCAATGCTGAAAACAGTTGTGCTGCTTTATATTTTTTTTGAGAAAACCAAGATACATTGATGAATAGAAATGTGTGTAAAAAAAATAGCAAATTGTAAAGAACAAAAAAAAAAAAACGCACTGACCCCAAACTATTCAAAACGTTCTTTTGCTGCCTTGCAACCACTTAGTGGCTCTTCATTTGATCAATACTGTAACATACAAAAATACAAAAATTATTTTGATGATAATTATACAAGTGCTGGACAACAGATTCTCTTAGCACATAATTGTCAAACACAAATAAGACACTCCCCAATTTCTCATTGAAATAAACAAGGAGCTTTTGTTGACTGCTTCAACAGCACTCTTGAACAGGCATTGTCACACAGCTCTTTTACGAGCACTGCTGAACTTTATCATCCCTAGCGAGAGGAGATACTCCTCCGTCACTAGAGACCGGGCTGGGAGGCTTCATTACAGGGTCTGCTGGGCTTCTTATTGCACTCGGGACTCTGGTTCCCCCCTTCCGTTCTCCTCTTGAGTCTTCCTGTTTTGTGGGAGTTGTGGAGAAGTTAGACATCAGGATTCCACCTGCCATCAGAACCCCACCCAGACTGAGAAGCCCCGTCCCGACCAGCACACATATGTGAAGTGAGCGATTGTGATGCATGGCCTGCCGGTCCACGAACAGCAGTTCGCCCTCACCGAAAGCCTCAATGCGAGTGGGGATGGAATAGCCCACTGTCATGACCACCAGCCCCACTGACAGGAGCACGACTCCAACGGCAAATGAGACCTAAGGGTGAACAAGTTTGATTTCGTTTTTAATAAGCCTGCTGAAAAGATCAGTCAACACTGAAAGGTGTTGCGGTTGCTTGATGTGATTGACAGTTGTTCAGATGTGAATCTGAAAGTGAATCACTACTGATTATGCATATGTGACCTTGGACCTCAAAACCAGTCATAAGGGTAAATTTTTTGAAATTGAGATTTATAGATCATCTGAAAGCTGAATAAATAAGCCATTGATGTATGGTTTGTTTGGACAATATTTGGCCGAGATACAACTATTTGAAAATCTGGAATCTGAGGGTGCAAAAAAAAATCTAAATATTGAGAAAATCACCTTTAAAGTTGTCCAAATGAAGTTCTTAGCAATGCATATGACTAATCAAAAAATACGTTTTGATATATTTACAGTAGGAAATTGACAAAATATCTTCATGGAACATGATCTTTCCTTAATATCCTAATGATTTTGGCATAAAAGAAAAATCGATCATCTTGACCCATACAATGTAATGTTAGCTATTGCTACAAATATACCCGTGCTACTTATGACTGCTTTTGTGCTCCAGGGTTACACATTTTTTTCAGTGGTATTCATTTTGATAACGAAATCGTTTAAAAAATGTACCAGGTTTCAAAGCAATATGACACCTTCCAAAGTAGAATCAATCGGATTTGGTTTTGGACTCAAGCAAACATGCAAATCATAAAACAACATATACAACATAGATCACAGCTGCACAACACAACAAAACTTCACTCTTAAAAATAAAGTTTCTATATTGGCATTACTGGATCCATGAAGAACCTTTAACATCAGTGGAACCTTTCCATGCCACAAAAAGTTATTTATAGTAGAAAAAGGGTCTTCAGATCATTCAAATGTTCTTCACACTAAAAAACAACTGTTCTTTTAAGAACTGTTCACTGAAAGGTACTGGATCCATGAAGAACCTTTAACATCAGTGGAACCTTTCCATGCCACAAAAAGTTATTTATAGTAGAAAAAAGGGTCTTCAGATCATTCAAATGTTCTTCACACTAAAAAACAACTGTTCTTTTAAGAACTGTTCACTGAAAGTTTTTTTTGGGAACCAAAAATGGTTCTTCTATGGCATTGTTGATGAAAACTGCATTTTTGAACCTGCATTTTTCAAGACTGAAAAAGGGTTCTTTAGATTCTCAAAATGTTCTTCACGCTAGGAAAAAAAATGTCTTTTAAGAACTATTCACTGAAAGGTTCTTTTGGGAACCCAGAATGGTTATTTTATGGCAGGGGTGGGGAACGTTGATCCTGGAGGGCCGGTGTCCCTGCAGAGTTTAGCTCCAACCCTAATCAAAAACACCTGAACCAGCTAATCAAGGTCTTTGGGATGCATTTAGGTTTTTTTTTTTCTAGGATTTTCAGGGTTGGAACTAAACTCTGCAGAAGAGTGGCCCTCCAGGATCAACGTTCCCCACCCCTGTTTTATGGCAAGGTTGTCCAAACCTGTCCCTGGAGGGCCACAGTTTTGCAGAGCTTAGCTCCAAACCTACTTAAACACACCTGAACCAACTAATCAAGATCTTCAGACTTACTAGAAATGTCTTGGCAAGTGTGTTGAAGCTAAACTCTACAGCAGGGGTGTCCAATCCTGTTCCTGGAGGGCCACTGTCCAGCAAAGTTGAGCTCCAACCCCAATTGAACACACCTGAACTAGCTAATCAAGGTCTTACTAGGCATACCAGAAACATCCTGGCAGGTGTGCTGAGGCAAGCTGAAGTTAAACTTTGCAGGACACTGGCCCTCCAGGACCGAGTTTGGACATCCCTGCTCTACAGGATGTTGGCCCTACAAGAGCCACTGCTGTGAGCCACACCCATCGCTGCCAAAAGACCCTTTTGGAACCTTTATTTTTAAGAGCGTTTGGTCCTCTCTGATACCTTCCAGAAGCTAGAGCTCCACCGCAGCGCTGATCTCTGGCCCTGAAAGTCCTCCTGCTGCTCCCTCATTGAGGCTGTGCACTCCTCGTAGAAGTGATGTAAATAGGAGCGCACTCCGAAAACACGACAGCCGGAGTCGACGGCGTGACCGGACCCACAAGACTCAGAGCAAGAGGCCATCTCTCAGACCTGTGATTACAATCACACAGCATTAAAAGACATCCTAAAATATTGAAGAATTGAAGAATATTGAAGAACAGTTCTTAACCTTCTCAGCTTTAATAGTCCTAATTTGGAGTTATACAACAGTTTACTGCATTTCTCAACGTGACCCCAATTCATCTAAGCCTATTATTATTTATTTGTTATTATTTCAGCATTTTCACAGAGTCTTAGACCAAATATAGGCTACAATAGTGCATTTTTTTCACCACAGCCTTATGTTTTCTCTAGTCATGTAGCACCAATTTTATTTTATTGCACAGACAGCCAACTTTTATTAAAAATCCATCTTGTCAAAGGTGAATTACCCCTTTAACCTAACATACAGCTATCACTTTGTTTATTATTTCTCACACAATTTTAATAATTGCAGGTATTACTTCTTTCTTTTTTTTTGAATGTCAGCCGTATCCATGTCTACTATAGTTGATGTTTTCTTCAAAGTGAAAAACCACCCACTGATGAAACACTCTCAGAGACATAAACACTGCCTGTCATCTACACTCAAGAGCATCATACTGTAAATAATTGAATTTATATACAATATAGTTTGCATCCAATATTTCAACAGATTCGCTCATAGTTATACCCAATGATACTATTTAACTGTACACTTAACTATAGCCTACACCCTTAGTTTTGGATTAAAATGCAGTTTAAACAAAGAGTTTATTTGCTCTATAATTAAGTTTAATCAAGCCCTTCATATTGGAGGCACTGCAAATGCTTCATTAGCTAAAACTGAATATTAGAATAATGAACACAGAGGCTTAAAATGAGAGTAATGCAAATCAGTTCATAAATCATTTTGCAGATTAGTCGTTTATATGCAAGCCAGGGCACGAGTCTTTGGTGGGGCACCCGCAAAGAAAAAAAATATTTAGGTTTTTATATAAAACATATGCTTCAACAGCATTTTCACACGTTTCTGTAAATAAAAATGTTTATTACAAAAATGATTGCTCAGAGCTCATATTTAGCGGTAAATAGTCACCCAGAAATGTTGGACTGAGGAGGTAGCCATAGCAACAGCAGCAGACCGCAACATCATTATCAGAATTGCATCAGCGAAAATAAAACAGGTCATTATTTATATAATATAGAAATGTACTAAAATTCGACTCCCCTTGAAGCTCTTTACAGTAGCCCTTATTTTGCGCACACCGTGTGCATTCAGGGACTCGAGGAATATCACAAATGTTTACAATATGCTTATCAGAAACACAGCCATCTACAGTATGACTGAGTGCAGATGAGAATGACTCAACCCACTACTGCATGTTTATGACAATACATCTGCAGCAAAAATCAATCATCGACGCAACTCTGCTTCCGTGAAATTCAAAACACTCAAGATATTTTTTCTGCTATATCTACACGATCAAACCCACTGTCTTTCTTATAAGCACACGTTTATGCAAATAGTGCTGTACGGAATCGTTACATTTACTGCGATCAAATCAAGCGAAGAGATGCTGAAATATCGGCGACAGCAATAAACATGTCAATAAACGCAAAGACAGTAAAGAGGATTTAACGAGTCTGCGTAATTATATAAATCACAATGGCAACAGAACATTAAAATGCCACAGGCAAAAGACATTGCAGATACGTCGCTATTAAAACTCATTTAAATGACATCCCTCATATTATATTCATTTTCATAGTCGGTTTATGATAAGGCGCTTGCCAAGCAAAACGATGCATCTGTGCAAATGTATCTTATTGGTTTTTAAAAATATTTATAAAACAGGTCAAATAAATTAGGCTACTACCGAATGTTCAGTAATCGATCCTTGTTGCTTGTTTTCGTGTCTTCATCAGCCAAAGTTTGCGTCTGCTGGAGTGCGCACAATGCGCATGCGCGTCTAATCTCCACAGCCTTTGCACTTTACACACTGTAGGCTATGTTCTCGTTCGCTTTATTTACAAATTGCGACATCTACGTAAAATAATTATAATAACTAAATGAAAAATAATGTACAAATACATGTAATGACCTTTAGATGCATGTCTTCCAACCTGCACAACTAATCTAGCCTACTTGTTCTATCATACAAAAAACAAAAAAAGGAGTGTTGTCAGAACGCAATACATAACATAGCATACAGTGTCATAACTGTTGGTAGCGTTTAATTTGTAGGCTATTACAGGACGTGTCAATAACACATATTTAAGCCTAAAGTTGCGGATAATTAAGAAATATAATTGGGTTTTGCTCCATGCCCTCGACTTGGAGAGCCATATATTTATAGAGAGAGAGGTGTGATAAAAAAAAATCCTCAACGTTTTAAGTGCTCTCGTGGCATTTGTTAGCAATGTTGCAAAACCATAAGCCATGTTCAAGGTTGTGCATCTATTATGAGGCACTGAATGATGGAAATTACATTTTTGTAGAAATTCCACAAACTCTTCAAGTAGTTCTATGCCTGCTCATTACGACTAACCTTGGGATATGTTTTGTGGTTACGAATGCTTAGAAAAGTGCATGTCCACACATGATAGGTTATGTTCATGTTAACACACACTCTCCCTTCTTCAGTCAATAAGTGTTATTTCAATGGCTACACAAGCAGTTACAAAGAGGCATTCAGTACTTTAAAAAGCTTACATTTTCCATGTAGATTAAAAATATTTCATTTCAAATGTGACAAAATGTCAGTAAAAGTATGAAAACAATGTCTTCGAACCAATCACATACCATTTGCCATTCCACAAGCATCGCTTCGCATTGTTTTGCTTCTTCTTGCTTCTTGTTGTACAAAGTACGTTGGGTTATAAATGAAGCAGCTTTATGCAACATACCGAGAAAAGACAGAATCTTGTCAGATTTTAAATTGGAACGATAATTAGAGCTGTCCATGGTGCTGAAGCTCCAGAATGACAGCTGTCTATTTATTTCCGCTAATGCATACGGTAAAGTAGATTTGAATATTGGCAATGCACACATATTCTAAGTTGTTACAGACGCATTGATGAAGAAAAACACGATGCAGTCATTTTGCAGTCTTTCTTCACCAGCTGTCTCATACCTTTTTTTCCGTACACACAAGACCTGAATATTTAAAGTGCGGGGGCGAACGGCAGTCCTAGAGCGCGCAGATAATGTGCTCATTATGTCGGTGAGGCGGCGAAGCATAAACGCTATCAATGGCAATGCCATCGTTTCCCTCTCACCCGTGATATACGATGCGCTTACACGGCTGGCGTCGTGTGGAGAAGCCAACGGAGTTCAAAAAGTCAAGAGACGCGTCTCCTGATGTAGCGGGACCCAGACAGTTCGCCCGCGTGCCAAAATGGAGATGTTACATCATCTTAATGGTCAAACAATGGGGCGTTGCGATGAATAATACATGTCATCTCAACCTAAGCCTAGCCTATTTCATGAGGGCTGAGGTAAACCCCGCGTCCGAGTATGCAATAGTATGCAAAAGCAGTATGTCAAATGGATGTCAGAATACGAAGTGGCCATGATACAGTTAGTGAACAGTCCTGTGCGCAACCAGAGGGAATTGTGCTATTATATGAGGCAACTGAAGCTGAGAAACCATTGGATTTGAGAAGTAAAGAATAAAAAAATAAAAATGGTGGAGACGGCTCTTTTTAAGCGTAAGAAGTCAGGGGGTCTAGAGCACTGCAAACAGTTTCATAGAATACATTTATTAGGGTTGTCAGAGTATCATAGTTCATCCAAAATGTTCTGAAAAAGCACTCACCCTCAGGCCATCCAAAATGTAGATGCGTTTGATTCTTCATTGGAACAGAGTTGGGGAAATGTTCCACTTGCTCACTCAATGGATCCTCTGCAGTGAATGGGTGCCGTCAGAAACAGCTGATAAAAACACACAAAAATCCACAAGTAATCCATGCCACTCCGGTCCACCAATTAGCATATTGTGAGGTGAAAAGCTGCATGTCTGTAGTTAACAAATACATCATTAAGGTGTTTTAACTGTAAACATGTTGCTTTTGGCAAGTCCATAATCCACAATGTTTCCTCTGCTAAAAAAAAGTCCACCCTCTGTTGTCCTCTTACATCAAAATCCACTGACATATTTATTTAGAATGGTTTTGGACTGTTTTTGCCTGTAAACAATGCTTGATCTGTGCATATTTCTCTCCTGATTCAGACAAGACATATTTTTTAATGGATAGTACAATATTATAGATATAGGACTCATATTTTAGCTGGAAGCAACTGTTTGAAGTTTAAAACTTCTTGATGGATTTGTTTTTTTACAGACATGCAGCTTTTTGCTCCACAAGACATTAAGTGTTGACTTGAGTGGTGTGGATTACTTGTGTATTATTGTGATGTTTTAATCATCTGTTTGGACTCTCATTCTGACGGCACCCATTCACTGCAGAGGATTCATTAGTGAACAAGTGATGTCATTTCTAAACGGCTAAATCTTAGAATCTTTTCTGATAAAGTCATCTACATCTTGAATGGTCTGAGAGTGAATACATTTTCAGCAAATTTTAATTATTGGGTAAACTATTCCTTTTTTCAACACATTTGCACATTTGACTTTATTACAGCTTCATTCTGCTTTCTAAAGTCTGGTTGGAAACCAAGAGATTAACTGTGATTTTTATTATAATTAATAGTAAAGTGAAATAGTGGAATAGGAATAGTTTGCATTTGTCTCTTATATCTTGTATATCTAGTTTCCCCTCACCGCTGTGGCCTTTCTCTTGCTCACTGTGGCACTAAACTGCTTTAGAACGGTATTTAATATGTAAATCATATGCAAATATATTTTAATTTAATTGAAATTTTTCCTCTTCTGGGTTACTTCTAACATTACTGTAATAGTAGACTGAAAAAAGACACACTGTTAACTTAATACAAAGTAATAGTTTATTCATTACTTCAGGCTTTTACATATTGACAATAAAAAAGCTAATTATTTTATTCTGGAAACATTGTCTTTTTAATACCACTCTTTATAGTGTACATATAAATATATCTCCCTTTATAAGTTAGGAAGGGGGTCCCTCACAAAGGAATCATCATATCATAATATGATCATAGGCAACAAATAAGGTAATTTTTGAGGTTAAATTGCACTAACAACACCCAAATTAATTATTTTTGTGGTTATTGCTAGTATGTTAGTAGGTCAAAAACATTTGGGTCAAAGGTCAATGCCAGCATGATGGATGAATATCTGTATACCTACAGAATGTTCTTCATCAGCGGTCAAAAAGCTCAGCAGATATTCCACACTTTATTATCTCTGTCATCTGTTTGAGTGTCTGCTTTGTGTTATTCAAACTATGGAAGGTTTGATTTTTTACCATCATAAATAAACACGCAAGAAGAGTAAGATTCAAGCTTATTGCCAAGATAATGTTGTTTTCTTTCAGTCTTGAGAGTTTATATTCACTAATCCTTCACCTTCCTGTCATCGCTGCTTACATAAGGAAATAGTTTTCTCTCTTTTTCTGTCTCTTTTCCAGACACAGTGGCCTACATTTCACACATGGAGGCTTGTGTCTGAGAGATGCTGCTTGCACAACTTGGGAGGAGATGTGTTGAGTTAAAATCTCAAATCCCCTGAACGCTAGATGGCACTATCATCCCAGATAGCTCATGACAGAGCAGCTATCGGCTTTGTTTTGTCCAGGAGACACACACTTAGCCATCTAGAAGTGCCAAGTGGTGCAGCATTACATTTTGCAGACACATTTCCTCAGGAATGTACACTTTGCGAACAAATGTTCTTTGTTATAAATTTTTGTTACTATATCACGAACATTCCTTTTACTATTTCAACTCATAAAAACAATCTCCTTAGACATCATGATTTGATTTGAACAGTCAAATGCTTGCAGCGCCACATTAACAGTCCAGAGGAGCAAAACCCATCACCAATAAAGGGCACATTTATAGGTTTCAATCCACAGAGGTAAACATGTCATACATGCCTATGAATCCAGTGTTGGCACGGCGTACGGCTCGCATCCTCTGTTCAGCCCTACCCGCACCCCCTACCATCTGTCCCAGTGTCCTACACACACAGCTCGCTCTGCACATAGCCCCAGGGCAGGAACGGGGGGAGCGGCGGCACAGCAGCCCTGACATCTGCTGCTTCCGTGGGCTGCACGGATGCGGAGGCCCCCTGGGTCCCGGGGAACAGCGGCAGAGGCCGAGCAGCCACCGCATCCTGCAGGGTACTATTGTCTCTCTTCCACATCGTGGTGGCGTCTGAGAGCATGACCCGTGTCAGCGATCGCCGCTCACGCTCCTTTGGGTGAAGGGTGGAAGGCGTTTTGTGCCATTTGCCTCGGTCGTTAGGCTGTAAGGTCAATTTGACCTGAATTAATATTAAAAGTTTATGGAATGTGAAGCGTGACAGTTGGCATACAGATGCATTGTGCGTGTAGAGGTTTAAAAGACACTTTCAGTATTGATTTGAGTGCACTGACTGACAAAATTTGAACCGAACTGAGTAATGACACAATTTTTAGAAGCACTTGGACCAGTTCTTACTATTAACTAGTTGCTTATTAGCATGCCTATTAATAACATATTGGCTGTTTATTAGAACTTATAAAGCACATATTCTGCATGACCATATTCTACATCCCTAATCCTATCTAATACCTAAACTTAACAGCTACCTTACTAACTATTAATAAGCTGCAAATTAGTAGTTTATTGAGGCAAAAGACGTAATGGTTTGTGAATAGCGAGAATTGGACCTTAAAATAAAGTGTGGTTGAATCGAAGTTCCATAATTGATTCATTTATCAAACTAAATTACAATTAAGATATTCAATCATTCAACGCAATTGATCTGATCAATTATGCTGTTGCTTTCTGTACAGCCGCTATTCAGTGTT